TTATTATTATTATTATTATTATTATTATTATTATTATTATTATTATTTTTTCTTCCCTGGCAATGCTCCTGAGTCCAAGGCACTACATGTGCCAAAGGCCCTCCCTCCTGGCTACATTGTTAAAAGGCCACATATTTTACTTTTGTATGTACTTCAAATTAGACATTTTAATATGTTTTTTTACTTTTAATGCTTTTTTACTGTTTTATTTTATTGTTTTATGTAAAAAAAAACACTTGTAACATATGCTTTGAATTGTGAACCACCCAGTGGTTTGCTGAGATGGGCGGCTGTAGAAATCAAATCAAATCAATCAAAACAAATAATCAAATCAAAAAAATCCTTAGGATTTGTTCAATTCACTCAAAAGAGGCGGAATTTGGACAAGTTGCTTAGCTTTAATGGAGGCTGCTTCTTGTCTCCCTTCCCCCTATGGAAGAAAATGTAAGTTTGGGAAACCATGAAAGTTCAGTTCTTAAAAATCAGTGTTACCCTGTACCTATTCAGATAACAGATCACAGATAATCAAAGTTGGAAGGGACCTTGTAGGTCATCTAGTCCAACCCCCTGCCCAAGCAGGAGACCCTACACCATTTCTGACAGATGGCAGTCCAATCTCTTCTTGAAAGTCTCAAGTGATGACGCTCCCACAACTTCCGAGGGCAAGCTGTTCCATTGGTTGATTGTTCTCACTGTCAGAAAGTTTCTCCTTATTTCCAGGTTAAATCTCTCCTTGCTATCCTGTCTCCCCTGGTCCTTCTCTTCACTAGACTAGCCAAGCCCAGTTCCTGTAATTGTTCTTCATATGTTTTAGTCTCTAGTCCCCTAATCATCCTGGTTGCTCTTCTCTGTACTATTCTGTGCATAACTTTTTGAGTCCTTACATATCCTATGTTGCAGAAGATGATGATCTATTTAACTACACCCTATATTTCAGACATCATCAGTTGGAATAACTTCAAATTATGGGGCTCACAGAATTCTGAGAGAGCCTTTGCTAAGAATTCTGGGAATTGAAGTTCACACGTTTGGAGAGTATCCAACTTTGGAAAGCGTGCTTAAGCCTGCCCAGTTCATCTTTGTTTTAAATATGAAGATTCCTAAGAAAAGAAATCACCATTCAATAGTTAATTAAATCACCTAAGCTCTAATTTGTAAAATTTGATTCAATGCTGTTGCATTAAACAGATTTGATTCTGTCAATTTGATTTAATAAACAATATTTTGAGTATATGGGCAAAAGCCCACTGAATTAAAAAAAACACCGACTGTAAGGGTCTTAATTTGATCACTGATTCGATTCAGCAACCAGATTGGCCTTTTAATAGTGGGACACAATCAAATCACCTTCTAATTGAATTTTGACTCAAAGCTTTACATAGCCTTAACATTTAATAATTAACCACCTGGCAAGCTGAGCAAACATCCTGTTCAAGGAGTCACAGTTCTTTCAAACTATGCAAAGGTATATTTCTTCTTCTTCTTCTTCTTCTTCTTCTTCTTCTTCTTCTTCTTCTTCT